ACTATCCTGGCTGGGGAAACAATTCAGGGCTTAGGGCACAAACCTTTCATGCACCCTGCCTGGGCTCAGTCCCTGGCATCGTAAGACCCAGGCTCCGTAGCATCCACGCATCACATCTTTACACCTGCTGTACTATCACTCCGGCCCCACAAAAATTTGTTTTCTCAAAGATTCTTTCCCAGCGGCAAAGGAGCTACCCTTAGTTGCATAAGGATAATTTTGTTTTTAATAGAAATTGATGGATAATTACATATCTGACCACTTGGTTACACCTAAATTCTTGCTGATGAAAGTTACGTTTTTAGAGAATCCAGTGACTTTTTTCTCATCATTTCTCTAACAGTAAACTGAGAAAACTGACAGCACCGCCCACACCATGGGTAGCTCTGATACAGGCCTCATCAGGAGTCCAGCCCCAACTTGTAAACTAGGCCTAGTTCATTATCGTCACTGAGGTGATGAAGACTGACAGTGGGAATATTGCTTATCAAAAAGTAAATGACTGTTAGGTTTCCGTAGTTTGGGCACATCCCAAACTTCATCACTGTCCGCATTCATTCCCTTTGTCCAGCTGCGACCATTCCATCTGGATTCTTTGTTTTAGGACAGTCTTTCTTATAACGTTCCACAGAGCCACAAAGTTTGTAGCCAGCACCATCAGCATAAATTCCTCTGGGAGTACTGGGACAAAATCTAGATAGGCGCCCCATTTCCCGAACAAAAGCATGTTACGAAAGAAAATTCACCAACAGCTGGGTTTGCTTTCGATTCATATTTGGTTATTTTATGCTCTCTTGACCCACACCACTAACATATCTCCATGCACATATGTTGGTTCTCAAAGGCAGCTTAGCAATCTGCAACCCCACGACCAGGTTTGCTACAATAGAAGCATACGCTTGCATTTTCCTTTGCTGCTTGCCTTTTTAATCATTTTCCTTCCAATTATCTTACTTGAAAGCAACTGCTATTTCTTCCCTTCCTGTCGGTTGCTGTTATCTCCCCATCATGAGCCATCTGTCACTTCTGTCATCTGTAGTCCATGAATCCATTCACATCTTTTAAATGCTCCCCTTTTTTTTTTTTTCTTTTTTTACTAGTGAGACACCATGAGGTACAGTTGTCGACTTACAAATTTTGTGCTTGGTTTTCAGTTATACAATGACCAAATACCCATCCCTTCACCAGTGCTCATTTCCCACCACCACGGATCCCAGTATCCCTCCCACCCCCCTTCACCCCCATCCCAACCTGCCTCTGTGGCAGGACATTCCCTTTTGTTCTCTCTCTCCTTCTGGGTGTTGTGGTTTGCAAGAGAGACATTGAGTGGCAGTCATGTTTGGTCTATAGTCTACTTTCAGCATGCTTCTCCCATCCTGGGAGGATCCTCCCAACACCCTTTATTTGGTGCTCCCTTCTCAATCTGAGCTCCCTTTTCCCCTAGCATGTATGGCTGGCCTCCAAGCCATAGAGCAAAATTTCTGGTACTAATCTCCGCCATTCTTGGGTATTAGTCTCCCATTTTGTTACTTTATGTTCCCCAGATGAATGCAATCTTTCTATGTCTATCCCTCTCTTTCTGACTCATTTCACTTAACATGATACTTTCCATGTAGTACCACTTGTATGTAAATTTCATGACTTCATCTTTTCTAACTGCTGCATAGTACTCCATTGTGTAAATGTATCAAAGTTTCTTTAACCAGTCATCTGTTCTTGGGCACTCAGGTTTCTTCCAGTTTCTGGCTATTGTAAAGAGTGCTGCAATGAACAAACAATTGCAGATGTCACTTCGACTATACATTTTTGCCTCTCTGGGATATATTCCCAGGAGTGGTATTACTGGGTCAAATGGGAGCTCAATTTCTAATTTTTTGAGAATATTCCATACTGTTTTCCAAAAGGGCTGAACCAGTTGGCATTCCCACCAGCAGTGAAGGAGGGTCCCTTTCTCGCCACATCCGCGCCAGCACCGGTTGCTTTTGTTCTTGTGGATGTGGGCCAGTCTCTGTGGTGTGAAATGATATCTCATTGTGGTTTTGATGTGCATCTCCCCAATGATTAATGATGTGGAGCATTTTCTCATGTGCCTTTTAATGCTCTGTTTTTGTTTTGTTTTGTTTTTGTTTTTCCGTGTGCGTTTTGGTTAGGGAGCATCTTTTTTTAAGAGACAGCTCACTGACTTCATGTTGTTGATACTTAGGTAGGTTTTAGCTTTTTCCCTCCAAGGACCCTTTCTTGTTTCAGTTCCAAAACTAGAGCATCATGACACAATGTACATTTATTAATTCGGGGCTGAGATGACAGCCTGAGCAGACAGTGCCTTGGGTCCTCATGTAATAGTAGGGGTGACTGCAGTCACTTCTGAGCAGCTAGGGTTAATTGGGGAGCTCCAGTGCAATTGAACCTGATGCCATGTTCGAGTTTGGGGTGGGGCATTTTATTTTACAGTGCTAAGATTGAACCCCAACCTCACCTGTGTTCTAGCACTAAAGTTAGCTGTATCCCCCACACACCCCTCGCCTCTTGTTGATTTTAAAGAATTATAAATGACATCCAACTAAAGGTCTGTAGTTAATGAGGGTTTTTTTTTTAAATAGTTTTAAAAGAACACTTGTTTTACAAGGTTGCCGATAAACAATCCCAAATCACTAATGGTATTTGCTAGAATGCCAGCTAGGATGGACATAAAGTAAAAATAACTCAAATGAAATAACATCATTTAAAAATTCAGAGCTAAATTCTAACAGAGCCTTTGATAAAACTTATAGCAGAATTCATCAGTAATTTTTTGACTCCCTTTCAGGTTCGATTTGCTGCTCTAATTACTGTGTTATCACTAGCTGAAAAATTAAAGGAGAACTACATTGTCCTGCTGCCAGAATCCATTCCTTTCTTAGCTGAACTGATGGAAGGTAATTGTCAAACTTTTTTCAAACAGTAAAATTCAATGGAAATGGGGGTTAACGCATATTGGGATATAATTTGCCTTGTTCTCCATCTCAGATTTCAGACATCTCAGGTGGAATGGAGGGAACTGAACATTTTAGGAAGTGACAACCTCATGGTCATGTTATAATCTATATTAATTTGGCGTATGTGTGATATTACAAAACAGACCACAGTTGTTTTTTCATTTACCTATTGTATGATTTTGTATCATACAATGATTATAACATTTTGGATCCCAGATGCAGAGTTCCTATATCAAAAATGTCTAGTGCCACTGAGAATATGACAGGAAAGCTTCTGATAATAATAATTATTACAGTATTCATGTTGGGTGCCATGTGTGGATGACTTTATTTAATCCTCACATAGGGTATTTGCCGTTATTTCTATTTTATAAAGGAAGGATCTAGATGCTGCACAAGATTAAGCAATTTGATAAAGTAACCAAGTGTATCTGACTAGTGGAACTGGGTTGATCCCCAGGTTTGTACAGTTCTAGACATATATCAGGTATGCACTGTCCACACAGTCCACGAAATAACAGTGCACTGACTGTTAGCTGGGGTGATGGAGGCAAGGAAGGAAACAAAGACTTTCATAGTCGTCACTCACTACTTAACCAAAACATGCTGCTTCTTACCTCCTGGATTGCAAGGAGGGGAGGTGATGTGAGCTACTCCTAAGTGTGGCCTGGCAAGCTAGGAATTCGGAATTGGTATTTGCATGCCACTATTTTGGGAGTCTCAGCACATTCAGCCTCCAAGTCTAGGCTGTAAGATGGGAATGAAGACAGGGGTAATACAGAGATGGTATTCCATGGTGCTTTCACTCTTGTTTGAAAGAGCGCCAGTCCAAAGAATTCAAGAATTCGGCTGAATAATGGAGGCAGAAGACTGACTTATTTTTCTTTTTTTTTGTTTTGTTTTAGATGAATGTGAAGAAGTAGAACATCAGTGCCAAAAGACGATTCAGCAACTGGAAACTATCCTGGGAGAGCCTCTCCAAAGCTATTTCTAAAACTTTGGAGGGCTTTTTGTTGGTATTTCATACTCTATTAAGAGTTCAGGTGTATTTTTCACATTTTTATTTTTGGGTGTCTGGTATCATGTTATTTTTGGTGCCTTATACCTACTTGGACTGTTAATCACTTTATAAAATCCCCACCTGGTTTGTGCTACCCTAGTAGCCTCCCCTGCCAGGTGTGTAGAATTGAAAAAAAAATAAGTAATAATAAATACATGGTATTTTTATATAGACTGGTGTGTTTATTTAACATTAGTCATTTCTAAAGGATATTAACAGATACAGACACATTTAATTTTTAACACTCTAACACTACCACATATCCATTTTAAAGGCCTAATTATTCTTCAGTATCCATGTCTGAGATTTCATTCACCTTGAGTTCTCTACTTCATTTATCTTGAAGATCTCTTCAAGATGAAGATTTTATTTATCTTGAAGGCCTTTGCTTCAAGAAAATTACTTATTGAGCACTCAACAATGTTATTCAGATTGTAACACCATTTGGATTTTTTACTTTTCATTTTAGGTAGAAGACAGCCTTAAATTTTGTATATGCACACAGAGGAAAGGAGTTATAGGGTGCAGTTTAATAAATTCAAGACCGTGGCTGTGTCCTTGATCTGGGGGAAGAGCAGAAGAGGTAGTGAAAGCAATAAGCTGTTTATAAAACAATCCACACCTGACTCATTCCACAGCTAAAAAAGGGCCCACTAAAGCTGGGAGGCCTGAAGGAGCCCCTGTGGCATTAGAAATGATCAGATTTCCATGGTTGGTTAACCAAGAATTTCTCACAAGAAAAACAAAGCACAAATATCAGTATTTTTCAAAGCTTTGAAGTTCTCTGATCTCCATATTATGTCATGGTGAATAGTGAAAGGGCTCAAATAAAATTAAACAAATAAGCCTTTATTTAAAGTATTTTCTGTTTTCTTTTTTTGCTTTTTGGGTAACACCCAGCAATGCTCAGGGGTTACTCCTGGCTCATGCACTCAGGAATTACTCCTGGCAGTGCTCGGGGGAAGTATTTTCAATTATGCATTTTAAGGCATCTGAAGAACTGCCCCACAGAATGTCTGAATTAGTTTGAACTCCTTTGAGCTATTTAATACAGAAATCTGGCGCAGAATTGTGACAAAGCGAAAAGCCTGGCTTGCAATTTAAAGATGTGACTTGCTAGATATTCATACTTTTCATTAAGAAAGGTCTCAGAATTCATTAATAAATGTTAACAGTTTCTTACCCCCCCAAAAAAACACCTTGACATTTTGTATTCGATCAAAGAATCATAAGTCTTAGTAATTGTCTGTGTAGAGAAAATGAAAATATATTGTTTAAACTCACAAGAAATAGTATAAATTTTCCTTAAATGACCTACAGTCCCCAACATCTCAGTCTTAAACCTCTTGATGTCTTTATGTAAAAAATAACAACTTTGAGGAATTTTAGAGCCTTCTGACCTTCAACTCTCAATTCTCACCCTGTTCCCCGAGTGATTTCTTTTAGTGTCAGTAAGTAAGTAAAAGTAAAGGCCCTCCCGTTGATCGTCGATTTGCTCGAGCGGGCCCAGTAACGTCTCCATTGGAGACTTTGTTGTTACTGTGTCTGGCATATCGAATACTCTCGGTAGCTTGCCGGGCTCTCCGAGAGGGGCGGAGGAATCGAACTCGGGTCGGCCATGTTGGCTGCGTGCAAGGCAGATGCCCTACCCGCTGTGCTATCGCTCCAGCCCTAGCCCAGAATAAACAACTGACATGAACAGATGGAAAAGAATTAGGTATTAGAACTTTCCACAGATATAAAAAGTTGAGGTTGGTAACAGTACCTTTCCAAAGTATGGCTACAAATAGTATTTATCCATAATCCTGGCAAAATTTAGCCCAGCAACTTAATATAATGAAATGATCTGACTAATTTAGTTTTTTACCTCCCCACTCCCAAGCCTTTGAAATTTCCTGTAACAAGATCTGACACGTAAAAATTCTATAAAGAACTTCTGCCAACCTGCTTCAAAGAATAGGAAAAAATTACAGAAATGCAACAATTTAACTTGCTGATACAGGTTTGATTTTAATCACTTAAAGTAGGACAATATTTTGATCTCAGCCTAATGATGACGAGCTGATCTTTGCAAGAGCAGAGAGGTGGAAAGTTTTGTGTGTGAACTAACGACACTTATGTGACCACTCCCACGGTCTTCATGTATCTCTAATATGGCTGTTTTACAAACTTTTATATCTCATCTTGACAGTGCTTTGTTACCCATAAACTAACAGGCCACATTCATCTGGCCGTGATCTTAAAACTTTCTATAGGAGTATGAGCAGATCTTTGATTTGCTGTAAGTCCAGGTTTTGTTTTTTTGGTTTTGCTTTGTTTCGGAGTCACACCTGAAAGTGCTCAGGAGTTTACTCCTGTCTCTGCACTTAAGAATCAATGGCAGTGCCCAGAAGACCCAATGGGGTGGTGGGATAAAACCAGGCTCAGCTACGTGCAAAGCAGGTGCCTTAACAGCCCTGTACTGTCTCTCCAGCCATTAATTCAAATGTTCTAAAATACGCATTTATTAGCACAAAACTTAAAACTGACATCAAATTAGTTTCAACAATAGTTTTTGTTTTGCCTTTTTGCTTGTGTGCATGCGTGCGTGTGTGTGTGTGTGCGCGCATGTGCACGCCTAATCTTTATGTAATGTTCAAATTCCATATCATTTATCTGGTAAGTGCTAGAGGCTTGTACATTTAGGTAGTAGTTATGCCGAAGGAAAAGCCAAGGCTAGGAGACAGCTCCGAGGACTAGAACTTGTGCTTTACACACGAGGCCTGTGTTTAATACCCAGCATTTCACGGTCCCCTAGCAATCTCTCAGAACAGTGAGCAGAAAGGCCTTCGAAGCACCACCAGGTGTAGGAAAGAAAGAAAGAGGGAGAGGGAAAGGAAAGGAAAGGAAATAGCCATATGTATTTATCAACATCAAAAACAGTGGTTTTGGCCCTCCCAGCACCACTGATTGTTGGAAGGAAGGGGGGGGGAGGCAGGGGATGGAAGAAAGAAGGAGCCATACGTCTCCATCAACATCAAAAAGAGTGGTTAGGAAGATGATCACTAAATTAGAATCTTCTTTAAATTAGGGCGATTTAAATAGCTAAGTAATGCTTTTAAGTCCCTGGTGGGTTTATGCAATACCTAGAAATAAAAACGAGCGTACAGAAAAGCTTGAGTTCCAGACTGGTCGTTCTCCACACCAGTGTGTTTCTTCCTTTACTCCTGGCACAGTGCTAACAAAGATCAGTGCTCAGTGCCTATTAGCCACCCTCGGTGGGCATGCCATAAACACTTGTTGAATATGAAGCAAATTTAAACAAGAGGCAACCAGGGTGCAAGCGAGAGCAGAATCACCATAACAGCAAGAAGTTACTGTTACCCCAAATTTCTTCATTCCAGACAACACCACACTGCATGGCAAGGCCTGGGAATACCCAGTCCAGCTTCACATTATGTAAGCCCATGTTAACAATGTATGTTAATAATGTAATGCGAGTGAGATGCACAGGAACGAGGCCAGCATTATATAAGCCATTTTGTATTTCAGTTTTCAGCAGTCACGTCGGCTACCAGCTCCTTACTTCCAGTAAGTGGATATCTCCGTCAACTTCCAGTGTATCGATATTGCTAAGCTCCTTAAATCTGTGTTTGTACTCCAGGCTGTGCACACCATTTATTGCAACCTTGAATTCTCTGACATCACAATAAATTATCATCTAGAAGAAAAGGAAACACATTGTTAGTGGTCTCCCTTTCAACTTTGCTTCTTGCAAACTGATGCTGGATCAAAAGGTACATCATTTGGTTCACTTTTATTTTTTCAATTGAGTCACCCTGAGATACAGTTATAAAGCTTTCATGTTTGACTTTCATACAGTGAACATTCATCCCTCCACCAGTGCACATCTTCCACCACCAATGTCCCAAGTATCCACCCCCATCCCAACTCTCCCTCTGCCTTTATGGCAGACAATTTTACCGTACACTCTACTTTTGAGCATTATGGTTTGCAATACAGATGCTGAGAGGCTATCACGGTTTGTCCTTTGGTCCTTTATCTTACCTCACATTTTACATAGGCAAATTCCCCAGCCTGCGGCTAACATCCCCTATGTGTCCTAAGGCCAATCCAACTCAAGTAGCTTATGTGATACCTGCACTTCTAATAAGGGAAGTGACTCTCCGCCTGCTTCCATCCCCTTCCCTAACTAGTACGTGCCTTCCTGCCCTTTGCTCTAGGGGAAGCAGAAAGTTGCCCCAGACACAGGGCTGGAAACTAAAGCCATAGGAATACTGTTTCTTGATTCATTTAGCAGAGGCACTGACTCCAGCTAATGGCAGGGGAACCGTGGGGATTGAGTCCTGCTTTGCAGCCTCCAATTCTAGACTACCCTTGACAAGTCATACAATATGGAATTTCTGAAGTTTAGGGGATCTGCCAGAGCTATTGATGATTCTGATTTCTGTCCCAGATTGGGAAATCTTGGCCTCAGTCTTTCTTAAATATTCCTGAGAGCTCCATGTTCTGGGAATCTAGGGTATAATTAGCATTTGAGCAGAGATTCAATTCAGGGTCCTCACTGGCTCTTCCATTATCTGCCTAAAACTCAAAACAAAAACAAGTTCTTCTTTTAAGTCACTTTCACACCTAAAACTCATACTTTAAAAACAAATTATGTTACTGGTTTTCTGCCATCAGCCACAAGAATCAACTCCTTCAAGTCTACCTATATACCCTACTCCTGCCAAGCCAGCAATATGCCCTAATCCTGCCAAGTCAGCAAACCCTTCTGCTGCCCTTCTCCAATGTCCTGCTCAACTAAATCTGGAAAATCCAGCTCACCCTCCCACATTCGACAGCATTTCAGAACAATGACCTACAACTTCCAGGGGACTATCAATGATTAGCTTGGTCTAACTGTTACTGGAACTTTTACTCCACTCTATTTATTCCTGGAACTTAGAAAACATCAATGGAAAATCACCATCTTCCTAATTCAGATCGAATATTCATGCTTTGAACAACGAGTTTTGATGGAACTCAAATAGTCTTAACAGTCCAGACCTTGTAACAATTTAAAAGTGGTAAAATCATTTTCAAATCAGTGACATCAACTAAGCAAACTGAACCAATCAATCACCCAGCATCCAAGCATTAGGAGACTGCTTGACATCCAAGAACCTATTTTAGGAATGCCATGTTATAATACAGGCAGATTTGAGGACCTGAATTTATACCCTCAAGTTTCAATAGCCTTAAATATAATTTTTATTGGATATATACAAAGAAAACTCCTTAAAATTACTGCCACCAAAAGCCATATAACCAAAAAGCGGGTCCTAAGTCCTCATGTTCCTGTGTCCTATGTCCTCATGTTCATTTAGGTTAAACATGTTATCCAGTCCTGAGACCAAGTTTTTAATCAAAATTCCTATTAAGCAACACAATTTTCAGTATAACAACAAATGTCAATTCCACTGCAAATAACAGGTGATCTGCTAGGTTTACTATTTGGACTTTGTAACAAGCATTCAAATTTCAATCACCATCCAAAGCCACACATAATCTCTAAACATATTAAGCTCGAGTTTGATTGAAATGGACGATTTATCCTACCCCTACTCCCAGGATGTTTTTTTCTTCACCTATTTTCAAAACAAACAATCTCACCTCAAAGTACATCCCAGGACTGAATGGGAAGCAGGTAATATTTCTCTCTTCCTCTCCCCAGGACTCCTGAAGAAAAGAATTTCTCACAAATGCTTTACTATTCAGGCGCGGGTTCAAATGGAGAGCAATATCTTTTGATTTTCCTGATATTAGATCGACATGAAAGCTTTTGAGAGAATGGAAAAAAAATAATTAGCCAACTAGAAGAAATCAGTAGTGCAATTTCTGCCAGTTTATTGATTAGAACAAAACTATTAATATAACTACATAAAACAGAGGTAAGCACACGAACATTGGGAACAAATGAAAGTCATTTTAAATTCTTCATTGAATTCCACTGATACAAGAAAATTACTTGCAAAATATATATCTGAAAACTCAGAATACATATAGTTGGGAAGAAACTCCCTTCAGGTCAAAAGCATGTTGGCCCCTTTCAAGTAGGTAATACTCAGCATTTTTGTATGTTCTGCTCTTGAAAGTACACTATTTTTTAACAAACACATCTATCAGGTTTTCAAAAGCCTGAGTATCTCTGGAATATTAGAAATCTTAACATCTTAGAAGTATTATAAGTCACATGACCAGCAGGACCCTAAAGTTACCTGGTTTTAAAGGGCTGAAGAGTTCTACAGCGGCCTGTGAACACTTCCACCCCTGGACACAAAAATCCTTGGTCCAAATACTGAAATTAAGTCCAGGTTTGTAGTCGAACTTGCTCCTGCTCTCATATTCTCACCTTTCCCATAGGATTATACAATTATCCCAACAGAACTGTTAAATGGTGTTGGGCCACAGAGATACGCTGCAAATATCCCCACTAGGACGTAATGACACTGACCCTTTGGCGTTTGTATTCACTTCTCCTTTAATCACGACAGTTCGTCCAGGGCCCATTGGGATGTTCAACCTGGCAGTGAATGGCAGAGTCTGCAAAGAAATGATAGTGAGCACAGGAAGCCAAAATAATGGGTTTTTGATGTGGGGAATCTACCCAAACACACTGGAGAGTCTTTAAAGGTCTCATCCCAGTAAATTCCATGAAGTCCCAAAGCATCCGTCCTGGGCCTGGCTCATAGCACACACTCAGTGCATTTCAGGCAATGACATGAACAGATGTTGATGGGAAACTGACAGCCTCTACATCGCTAAGAAAGTCACCTCTGTCAGGGATCTGAACCAGTGCCCCACATTCTGTCTGCAGGGAAAGCAGCCAAGAGTGGAGATCAGGAAGGCCACAGGAATGGCTGGTTGGCTGATAACCTGTCGCACAGGGACCGAAAGAGGCAACGTGGCTCCTTCAGACCACTAAGAAGGGCAGACATTGCACATAGTAGCTAATTACAACTTAATTTGTATAGAGAATTAAGAAAATGTGGGGCTCTTCAAACCTTTGACAAACAGCTGAGAGGTAGTGTTTTGGCGCAAGTCAAAGTGTGACTGGTGGCCGAAACTCTGTTCTTGGTGTAGACAGTTCTGGGTACGGTTTTAGAAATTTCTCCTTCTCTATCACTAGGCTGTAGGGAAATAGTTCTATTATAAGGTCTGGAATGAATGCAGCTCTTTTCCAAGGTTTTAAACCAGAGGTTCCCAAACTTAGTTGGCTTACCATCCTTTTTCAGAAGGAAAAAAAATTACAGAGCCCCTCACCACCACTGAAAATCTATTTTCTTCAAATAAAGAGAAAATGCCCCCCGCCCCCCGCACCTGAGGTAACTACTGCCTCCTCCCCGCATCATCACAGCACACCCAAGAGCTTTGGGAAAGCAGTGGTTCAAACTATTCATTCCGGGAGCAATATGAGAAAGTGCTTTATGGGTTTAAAGTTCGGCAAAAGTACTTACAAGGTGTGATGTGTCAGCCTTTTGTACCTATTGGAACAGAGAGGAAAAAATGAGGCCATCTGAAGGAAAGAACTGCATCTTTTTGTTTGTTTGGGAGCCACACCAGCTGTGCTCAGGCGTTAACTCCTCATGCTCAGAGATCACTTGCAGTAGTGCTCAGGGAACCATTCATGAATAGAACAGGGCCTGCCACGAGCAAGGCAAGTGCCTGAACCCCTGGACTACCTTCCCGGCTGCAAGAATCACGTTTGATATGAGCAGCTGGAGCTTTCCTGCTTGCAATAAGCTGAGCCTGGCCAGTCCAGGGATGTGGCTGGGATGAACATACAGGTGACTACGTGCATGGGACTACAAAGGGCAACGCAGGATGGAAACTGCCTGCCAATTCTGTTCATCGGAAGCCATCTGTATTCTCCACAATACATTATCATGTTTTCAAAGGGCTACATGTGAACTTCAAATAGTTTACTGGGCTGGAGCGATAGCATAGCGGTAGGGCATTTGCCTTGCACGCAGTCAGCCCAGCCGAGCCGGGTTCGATTCCTCCACCCCTCTCGGAGAGCCTGGCAAGCTACCGAGAGTATCTTGCCCGCACGGCAAAGCCTGTCAAGCTACCCGTGACGTATTCAATATGCCAAACACAGTGACAACAAGTCTCAAAATGGAGACGTTACTGGGTCCGCTCAAGCAAATCGATTAACAACGGGAGGACAGTGTTTGTTTGTTTGTTGGTTGGTTCTTTCCAGAGTACTCCAAGTTGCTGAGATTCTATTTCATCTATGAGGTGTTAATGTGCTGAGGTCAGTAAGACTTCATTAAAGACTCTTGCCAGTAATAAGTACAAAAGCTCAATGTTTAAATTATACTAGTTCCCACAGCAGAGGACATCAGTGCAGGCTCTATTCAACATTTATCTTGAGAGATAGTGCGCACAACGCTTGCTTTGCATGTGGTCGACCTGGGTTTGATCCCCAGTGCCTCATATGGTTCCCCGAGCCAACCAGGAGTGATTCCAGGGTGCAGAGCCAAGAGTTATCTCAGAGTACTGCCAGGTGTGGCCCATAAACAAACAAACATTTATAAATACCACATGGCAATAATATTCAACAATTAAGAGTCAAAATCCTTTTTATGTAAGAAGAGTCAGTAGTGGCCTTTAGTACTTTAGTCATTTTAGTACTGTTAAACAGAAAAATTCAAAGTCTGACACCACAAACATTTGTATCTCAATTTTCAGGTTTTTACTTCTAGTATATTAATATTAAATATATAATTTTAAAACTGTTTAGTACTAAATATGCCAAATACCAGTAACAATGATGGGTCTCATTCTCCTAAAGAGCCGTGAATATAATCTCAGGGCTAGGATGAAAGAGACGTTACTGGGGCCTGCTCGAGGCAATCGATGAATAACAGGATGATGAAATGAAAAATGAAATGAAAAACTGTTAGCCTATCTGCCACCTGATTTATATCTACATTTACTTCTAAAATAACATCTTAAAACTGGTGGTTCATTAAGATTTAATATTTACATTTTCTTTACTTATCTCTGTCAGTTCCAAAGAAGGTACCTGGGTACTTCTTAAATCCTAAAGGAAAGATTAATTTTAACATCCATCAAAATTTTAAATGACCTGCCAAAAGTAGCCCCAAAATTCTAATAGTACAAAACATGAAAATATACTTGAAAATCATGCTCATAACATTGCACATAACATTAGGGTTCACCTAACACTTTCAAATTGGCAAACACAGAGAAATGAGTATGACAACTAGTTAAGAAAAATGTTAGCAAGAGGGCAAATTGTTTTCATCTTTTTGGAAGTCAAGTCAGTATCTAAAGTATAAAATGCAAACCTCTTTTGACTCAGACATTCTACTTCAAGAAAACATCTAAGAGAAAAGTCTCATTGTATGACTGTGTACAGGAAATCGCCTCTACCTAAACTAAAAAGGGTTGTTTTGCTGTTATCGTTTGGGTTTTTTTCCACCAGAATCAGACTACATTTGTGATCCTTCGGAAAGTAACACCCTCGTCAAAAAATGGCAGCCTGTAAATCTGAAAGATACTGCGTACATCTTAATACACTGATGAGGAACACAGTTACATTATTTTCACTTGAGAGATGTTAATTAAATGGAATTCCTATTATTTCATTAGAAAAAAAAATCAGAAGTGTGCAAACCAGGGAAGGGCACTCACCGAGCTGAAGTTAAAACCAACTGAGTGAATATTCACTTTGCCATAAATGCCCAGAGTGTCAATATTTTCAGAGCTAATCCTGTGGTTGTAGAGCAGCGTGTGTTTTCCATTTACAGCCACCTAGACAAACAGAAACAATCATACACACCCCCGCAAAGTAAATTAATTCTATTCATTTATCCAAATTAAAATGTTTACTTGAATTGAGTGTTAAAACTCTCTCATTCCATGCCCGACCAAATGGAGACAGAACGTCCATCACTTCAGTAGAGGGTGTGGTATACTCTGTACCCCTGAAACAGGGAAACATTGTTTGCAAACCCTCTTGCAAACCAGTGTTAACACACCAGCCCTCCACCCAAGGATCAGTGTCACTCCACCGCAAACCACTGAACCTTAAAGCCTGACTAGGTTTTCAAGACTTTTTTGGAGTTTCCGATCTGCGTAAATGTATGTGCCCTCTCTCTCCAGACAAATGATACACCCATGCACATACATAGGCATACATGCAGGGGCCTATGTGTACAGATGACACGTGTATGTGTGTGTGACGTAGCCCAGGGTAAAGGGCATGTGGGGGGCTCTGGAGACCTGTGAGCACAGGTTTGAGAGCTGTCTTGCGAATTTGCTGCCACACTACCCTTGAGGTCCGCATTCTAAGACAGACCACCCTACAGGTAACAAAGACTCTTAAAAATACTTGTTGGAAAAAAAAAATACTTGTTGGATTTGCTGAATGAAACTGAGCAAATTACACAAATTATCGGAGGTTCCTATTTAAATGTATATTTAAAATCCAGCTCTTGCTCAAAGGGCTGCTGCTGAAATGATAAAGCCACGTCTGTGAGTCTCCCAGCACAGCGCATGATGGAACAGAGGGCCAACACTCACAGTTCCTTCCCCTCCCGCTGTGTAGGGGATGCTGGGAAAACTCTGGCAGAGGGACTGGAGAGAGGGTGGAGCGGATAGCGTACTTGCCTTGAATGCCAGTGACCCAGGTTAAATCCCTGACATCACTATAAGGTCCCAAGCCCCACCAGGAGTAAGCCCCGAGCCCAGAGCCAGGAGTAACCCTTGAGCACTGCCGGGTGTGGCCCCCAAACAAAAACCAAACAGCAGCAGAATCCAACACAGTCTCTGACTTCTAACAGCTTCAAATCCCACTGGGGAACAAAATAACACAGGAAAAATCCATTGCACACCAAACTACAATGCAAAAAATAATGAAACAGATCGCAAGTGCTTAAAAGGCCAGTAAATCGAGGTGTGAAAAACCTTTGGGAGATTTGGGGGAAAGGCTCCAATAGAACCGGGATCTTGAAGGACAGAAAAGATCTGTCCTCGATGGGAGAGTCTTCATGAGAGAAATGTTCAGTCTGCTGGCCTGTGCCAAAAAAGCCCTGAGGACCATTGTTGGAGTATACGGAGCTTAGGTTTATCGGAATCGCACTCATCACAGTGCTCCCGAGTCACTCCCATTACTTTGTCTGCTTGTAACCACTTCTATGCTCTCTTCCCCAACCAATTTGTAAGGTCTCATCCTTCTTAGACACTGAAGCTGTACTGTAAGTTAATGTTGCCTTTCTGAGCGATAGCACAGCGGGCAGGGCGTTCGCCTTACAAGCGGCCAACATGGCCGACCCGAGTTCGATTCCTCCGCCCCTCTCGGAGAGCCCGGCAAGCTACCGAGAGTATTCGATATGCCAGACACAGTAACAACAAAGTCTCCAATGGAGACGTTACTGGGCCCGCTCGAGCAAATCGATGATCAACGGGAGGGCCTTTACCTTTACCTTTACCTCCTCTCCTTATGTCTTTTGAGCAGTTTGCCTTAATGCAATGTCCTTTTGTATAGATACAGGAAGACAATTAATATTATGCTTTATAATTTAGGATTTAATTGGCTTTGAATATTATTCACCCCTGGCATCTGCCTTCTCAGCTTAAGCCTCAGTTGCCCTCACTTCCTAGCACTCCAAGGGCAGGGTCCCGACGTGGGACTGGATGGAACCAGGGCAAGCCGGTAAGTTATGTGCTACCCTGGCATCGCGATGGGCTAGGCCAAGGTGCCACGATTCTTAACTGTAAGTTAAGAGGTTGATCATAGGCAAATGATGTCATGATCCAATAGTAACGATGAGACTAGGGCCCTGCTGCTAGGAATAGGAAAGATATCTGGCCTGAGCACTGCAGTCTGAGATCGAGATGGCCCTAGGAGAGCAATTCTATAAGCCCAAAGTATTTCTTACTGTGTCCATACAAAATGATTAATATTATGTATGCTTATATGTTGGTTGGACAAGGAGAGGAGAAACACGTCCTAGAAGCAGTTTCCTGTGTGTCCTGACTAGCTTGGATGAGACTGCTTTCTCCCCTTCAAACTGTCTTCAGTAAATGATTCCAGTATATTGAGACAGTTTCCCCTTTCTCTCAGAACCCTGGCTGGTCTTAGATATGCAGATCTCAGGTGCTAGCCAGGATTGATCTTTGGGATGTAGATTCCCAGCTCTAGCCAGGCTGGTCTTTGGGATGCAAATCAAGGTGCTTGCAGCTTGTGAAAGTGCTTGTGAAAGGTTTCAGCTTGGCTTCGCATCTTGCATCTTCTTTCTGGAGGCCAGTATTACTGGCCTGCGGATATAAGGAAACAATGTGGATGTAAGGAAACAATGTATAGTTTGCCGCCTCAATGTTCTTTCTGTAACTCCTTTTGATGACATCACTATATTGCGCCCTTTAGAGGTACTATGATCTATTTAAGGGAGATTTCAGGGCTCTCTGGGGGGACACGTGCATCAGGGAACCTGGGAAGATGGGGCTGAGGACAGAAGCTGAGAGAACAAAGGCGCAAGTGCTTGAGGATTCCTGAGGCCTCCATGACATACATCTCTTCCATGTAATAAACGGCTGCTAAGACCAACCAGCTCGGCCTCGTTTCCTTCCTTCGCCTGACCATCGCAATAGACCTCCGTGGAATGGGGAAACAGCCTGACCGCTGGCCTTTTTATTTTTTGTGTGATTACACAGACCATGTCTACCTACTTACACAAACTGATGCACGAGACTCAGAGACGTCTGTGACCACCTTTCCTATATTCAGGATATCAAAGACTCCGGGACCTGAAATCTCACAACTGAACTTCACAAAAGCCTTCTTACTCTAAACTCGGATTAGTTTCAGACTCCTCAACACTTTGGGCCATGGTGGTTACAATTCCCTGTTCCACAATGGAAATAATGTGGCACCCCACAATCAGAAGAACTACAATCTGGGGCTGGAGTGACAGTATAGCAAGTAAGGCGTTTGCCTTGCACACGGCCAACCCAGGTTTGATATAGCATCCCATATGGTCCCCCGAATACCACCAGGAGTGCATGAGCCAGGAGTAACCCCTGTGCATTGCCGGGTGTGACCCAAAAAGAAAAAAAAACTAAGGAAATCTAAGGGAATGATCTGGTCTCTCTACATCTGGATTCTCCATGGCAACACTGGTGAGTGAACTGCACAACCTCTATGGCAAAGGGAAACAGAAAGCCTGACTCTTTCTCTGGCTTTCAGAAATATGAGGACGATTTTCCCAGAGTGAAAAGCTGCATATACGTTTACACTCCCGGATGAGAAGTCAACCTCTGTTCTGCAAAACCTACCTGAAACTTGTCTTTCAACACCATGATCACAATTTCAAAAGACTTCTCTTTACTGAAAGGCATGTCATGAGTGATCTCTTCCCAACCCCACTTTTCGTTTTTCAGAGTATTGCACACAATGCAGTTGGTCCTTTTGAAACGTGGGTTGAAATGAAAGGCCACATCGGCGCGAGGCTTCACACTGCTTCCACACTGTAAGTCCACTTGGAATCTGCATGAGGAAAGACACACAGGCCCAGGAGCCCTCAGAAAGGAAGGTCCAGCAAGCACAGAAGTAGAGGATGAGTGACATATGACTGACCGACCCTCTGCTCAGCCACCCCCGTGGCCTAATGCTTCCTTACTCTTCCTTAGTAACTGAGACCTGAGCTGGGTCCCCCTCTCTCCTAGAGTAGAGCTAACATTGCCCAGCCTCCCTCAGGGATCTCCATACTCATGTGCTTAAAGCTCTGCCAACAAGGTGGGAATGACGTGTTCAAGGAAAGCCACTGGAATCTGCCTTAAAAGTCAGTTGTCGACTCTCTTTCATCCAGGCCTTCCAACCTCAATCACTGAATGCACCCACACAACAATTCAAAACATGGATGTAAAAGTTGGAGTTCTGAGAGAGAGAGAACAAAAGGGAATGCCCTGCCACAGAGGCAGGGTGGGATGGGGAGGATGGGGGGTGGGAGGGATGCTGGGACCTGTTGTGGTGGAGGATGGGTGCTGGTGGAGGATGGGCGCTGGTGGAGGGATGGGTATTTGATCATTGTGTAACTGAAACCCAAGCACAAAAGTTTGTAAGTCTATAACTGTACCTCTTGGTGTTTCACTTAAAAAAAAAAGTTGGAGTTCTGACTTCCTCACTGTAGGCAAAGAAGAGCAGTAAACCAGAAGAGTCCTACTTCTCTATGAAGGGCCTGAAACATCTCATTCATTCAAACTTACCTTCTATGCTTCCTTGAAACCACTGTTATTTGGGCATCAGTCACAAAGAGTTGAACACAACCATAACTGACAGTCTAGCCCAGAGTCTACTTAGACTCCGAAGGATACTCCCTAATCAGCACTGGGGGTCTTATAAGACTGATTCTGTGGGTAATACCATAACCGATATATAGATAATGCACTTCCCTACACAAAGACCTACCTATGGAGAAGTTTAATTTATAAATTATGCATAGCTAGACATTAGCAACAGTAATGATTAAATATACCATAATAATAACAAATCTGATGTGTCTTTCTGTCTCTCAAATTATCTTACTGTGCGTACTATATTGCAATCATGGTTGATAGTGGGCAACTAAAACCATGGATGAGAGGAATTCCTAAACCCAAAGTAGGGAACGATTACTGGGCTACTTCCAGTCTGCAGATGTAAAAAAGGTGGGAAAAAGCTGAACTAGGTGAAATCTACTCAAAAAGACCTAAAGATGAACTGGAATGTTATATGGAACTATCCCCTCTCCTCTTAACACAGTATCTTTACTACCTACTTATCAAATGATATATCTATAGTTCTTTACATTTAAATCAGACTTACAACAAAAAATAATAACTATAAAACCCAGCTCCTGGAAGTGTGTGGCCACATTTGCGGCCGCGTGACCTCTTATTGTCTAGTTCTCACTCTTGGAGAACCCGACAGGCTACCAAGTATGTCCTGCCCGCACGGCAGAGTCAGGCAAGCTCCCTGTGGCATATTCAACATGCCAAAACCCAGTAACAATAATGGGTCTCATTCCCCCAACCCTGAAGGAGCCTCCAATGTGGAACTTGCTAAAATCTCAGGGCTAGGATGAATGGAGATGTTACTGGTGCCTGCTCAAGGAAATCGATGAACAACAGGATGACAGTGATACAGTGAATAATTAAAAGACGGAAAGAATCTTTAGTCAGTTATTCAATCTCCTCACATCTTGGCCTCATTCATAAGGGCTGCTGATAAATCAAAATCAAGCTTCTCGGTAACAAATAGTCTCTTGTCATATTATAGCTATTATGGTAGCAGTTGATCATATGATGTAACATATGGTTTTTACCTGTCTGAATCACCAGGCACATGTCCTCGTATAACAATCAAACTTCCAGGCTCCAACTGTTCAGAAATGGTCCCAACATAGGGGATTGCCTAGGGGAAAAAAGGTTAACAGATGTATATTTACAAAAACAAAACTTAAAGATGACATCTTTGATTTTTTGGGGGGTGGGGAGGGGGGTTGGAGGTCAAGACTTGTTCTGGCTCTGTCCCCGATGATCACTCCTGTAGGGCTTGAAGGTCCGTATGTGGTACCAAGGAACAAATCCAGGTTAGGTGAGCCACATGCAAGGTAAGTGTTTTACCTGCCGTACTATTTATATGGCTCCAAAATTACACTTTTAAAAGCTGTAAGTCTACTCAGAACCTAGCATTTTCCAAACTGTCCTCATTATTCAAAATGTTAGAAAGGAAGAACAGGGCTAGTATATTCACAGTATATGCAGAACACTCTTGATTTATTCGGGGAAAGCCACAAAATAAATGTGACATTCACAGTATCTTTAATTTGGTTGTGGAGTGGGCAAAACAAAGCGTTCTCTTAACAGTATAATTCAGATGACAACATAACTTGCTGCAATTTCAAGTCCCCTCTCTTTCCCCCCGCCCCCACACACCCTCTTCTTAAGGGTCTCAACAGTGAGGCCCTAGGCCAAAGCTAACAGAGGCAGTGATCAATAGTCAGCATTCAGTAACTATGGAGCAAAGTCCAAATGAAACCACTCTTCATTGTTTATGTCAGTGTCTTTCAGAACTGCATGGTTTAGGGGTGACTAGTTAATGTGGAACTTTCAAGCCATGACACCCTGGCCTGGACACTGTGGGCTTGGGTACGAGCTACAGAGGTCTGGGTTTCAACCTACCTAGCATCAGCCAAAACCCAGTCTTTCTGTCTAGCATGTGACAACACTCCAATCTTGTCATTCTCCATCCCCAAAGGTGACTTGACCACCATTCCCCTGTCCACTGTCTGGGGGACTATGCATGCCACTGAATCTCTTGCCTTGTAACCATCTCCCTCCCTCTCTCACTTGGAAAGCACGTGACCAGGTTCAAGACACCAGACATCATCAGTCTTACACCACCCAAGCACGGAGTATATGCTGACATCCCCCAAAGTAACTGACAGTCAAGAAATAAAAAAACAATGTGTTCATAGGTGATATTTATCATCATCATATTCATCATCATCAACCAGTGATACTCAACACCTAGGTACATGTGCGACTAAATGCCTTCAAGTCCACTCAACTCTTTGTACTCCTTGTACTCCTTGTGCTCAACTCTTTGTACTCCTATGGTGGGAAAAGGGCATTGCTTGGGCAACTCTTAAGCTCTGGGGCTTCAATGTTTCCAAAATAACATAAAGGGGCTGGGGGAGAGTACAGTGGTTAGGACAGCACACACCTGACCAGACTGAGTTTCCAGGGCCATTATAGCCCCCCACCCCCCAAAAAAAATGTCCAGGTGCAGCCTTAGAGACAGCTCAGCACTGCAGACCAGATTGAGTTTCTAGGGCCATATAGGCCCCCCCCCCAAAAAAAAAATGTCCAGGTGCAGCCTTAGAGACAGCTCAGCACTGTCAGGGTGACCCACATAGCCTTGGGTCCTTGCATTGGCTCAGTGGCCTATTGGCCAAGACTCTCCAGTGAGGACACTGGACTTCCTGAGCATAGCTTCCTACCCCAATCTCATATTAAATAGAAAATTTGAATGTAGGGGCCAGGGAGATAGTACAATCAGTAACGTGATTGCCTTGCACATAGCTCACCTGGGTTCAATCCCTGACACTCCATATGAATCCCTAAGCCTGCAAGGAATGATCTATGAATACAGAACTGAGAGTAAGCCCTGAGTACAGCCGGGTGTAGCCCCAAAACAAAATATATAAATATGATCAGATGAAAAATACCATAAACTTAAGCCCTCGGTAGGTTTGAAGCTACCTGCCAAAATGTCATAGCTGATTCATATTACATTGTTTGTTTTTTGTTGTTATTTGATTTTCTTAAGCCACACCCAGCAGTTCCCAGGGCAGTGCCTGGCTCTACAATCAGGGTTCACTCACTCCTGGCAGAGCCCAGGAGACCACAGGGGATGTTGGAGATCAAACCCGAGTCAGCGGTATCCGAGTCAAACGCCCTACCCCCTATATTATCGCTCCATGCCCCGATTCATAGTGCTTTGACTAAACATCTGTCATGCATAAGGGGTTCATGTTTGGTAGATTGCAGTTAGAAATATATGAGGCCTAGCATGAGAACATCACCTGGAAGAAGTCCGATGACTCTTGAAAAATAATTAAGAGCGAAAATATGACACTCTTAGTGATGTAGGCAGGTAGACAGGGAGGGCCCCCTCCCGGGCAACAACAAAAGCCAGCCCTGCAGAAAATAGCAAAACAGGAACTAAGGCTTGATAAGACCCTCACCTGGCTCCAGCAACAGACCCAGAGAAGCTCCTCTAGGAACAAAAGGCCAGGAAAGGAATTTCAAAGAAGACCATCACCACTCCCATCCTCCCTGGCAACCTCCTTAGCAACGGGACATTTACCTGGGAAGAAGCCCCACGTGGGGGCAGGTTGGAGGAACCCTATAAAGGCCACCTTGAACAAAGGAAGCGCGCGCATTTGCTGCCCGAGCCCATGTGCTGCTTGTGCCCACGTGGCCGAGCACATGTGGTGCCCGAGCACATGTGTCGCCCGCATCTCCCCTCTTGAGATGTGTACTTTCATGCTTTCGTGTCTAACTTTACTCTCTCACTCTCTCTCCCTCCCTCCATACCTAAAAATCCTCCAAATAAAATCTATTTACTTCACTGCTTGTCTACTCCTGAAATTCCTTTCTGCGAGGCGAGACAAGAACCCAGCAACCCTGGGTCCCGAGTGGCAGAGGCGGATGGGGAGAAAGTGACTGTCTTTCTCCTCCCCGCTTCATATAAGTCACCCGTGGGGCCCACCGACATCAGATGGCGACCACGAAGGGACAGATGCAGTGAAGAAATCCACGAGGAATGAGGTAATCTGTGGAAAATCTGCTGTGGAGGTATGCTCCCTTGGAAATCTCTAGGGGGAAGGGGGAGGAATGTGATAACCTCTGTGTGAATGTGTGTGTGCATGAGCACCCTGATGGTCTCTGCAAAGAGGCACCCCTCCTTTGTTTGTCTTGGGTCATCGTCCACTATGGGAGGAATGGGAGGAAAGCCCAATAGTGTGAAGATTCTGGGAAACTAAAGCAGATCAATTTCCAGACAGAAAATCTCCCCAGTCTAACTAGAAAATCCTTTTCCCCAGCCTAACTAGAAAATCAGCTAGAGGTCATTTCAAATGCTAATGAAGGCAGTCCAGAGGTAAGGCAGAAAAGAAAGAAAAAAAGTGTAAAAGGCAGGTAAGAAGCCTGAGAAAAGCAGCGAGCCAGCAAAAGCAGGGAAGATGTAGCAAGCTAAGAAAAGGCAGAACTTTTTTCAAGGAGAAGAGTTTAAGACCACAGCACTAGGTTAGGCTCGGGCACACAGCTGTGGGTCTGCCCGATGCCAGGTCCGCCCAGGGACGCCTGTGGTGGAAGCAGAGGCCATTGGTGGAGACGGTCCAAATCCAGTAAGCCTCTGACAAAAGGCCAATTTAGTGGGGGGTTTGAGTCCCCTCGGCAGAGGCCAGGGTATACAGGGGGTTAGAGTCCCCTCGGGAGAAGCCAGGGTAAAGGGGTTCGAGTCCCCTTGGATAGACCTGAAGAAAAGTTTTGCCAAGGACGGTCCAAATCCAGTGAGCCTCTGACAAGAGGCCAATTTAGGGGGGGGTTTGAGTCCCCTCGGCAGAGGCCAGGGTATAGAGGGGGTTAGAGTCCCCTTGGGAGAAGCCAAAGTGAAGGCCAATTCACGGGAGGTTAGAGTCCCCTCGGGAGAAGCCGGAGTAAAGGGGTTCGTGTCCCCTTGGATAGACCTGAAGAAAAGTTTTGCCAAGGAACCATCTTTTTCATAGATTAAACATTCTCCTATGGGTTGCTCCTTAAAACACCAGAGGAGCTTCCAAGTAGGAAGTCTAGATAAGAAATATCTTGCTGACCTCTGTAACACCACGTGGCCTGAGTATAAGTTAGAATATTGGGAAGGATATACAGTGAAGGGCAGTTTGCATTACCAGATCATTTTGCAGTCAGATCTTTGCAGGTAACAAAAGAAGTAGGATTATCAAAGCAGAAGAGGCAGGAAAATGCAAGATATGATACTAACTCCCTGCCTCAGAACTAGCTTTGACCAAAATATGGTAACATCTAACATCTGACCACCTTAGGTTTAACAAGTTTGTCATAGTTTATTTTGCCGGCTTATATGAACAAAAAGCGCTTTCTTGACCCATTCTGAACAAACAGGCGACTGACTGGTCAGGCTGGGAAACGGGGAGCACTGTTCCCAATCGGCCGACAGGGCTTCTTTGCCCTGGGGACTGCTTCTTCCTTTCTCAGTCCATCAGTTTTCTCCCTGCCATTTTTGAAGGGTCAGACCGGTCAACTGCAGATATGTGCACATGTACGTGTGGTGTTTTCGTCAGTTCACTGTCTGTGTCCGTCTGTCTGACTGTGTCTGTCTGTCTGTGTGTCTGTGTGGAACACTCGAGTGCTGGAACCAGGTTGAACTCAGAAGTACTAATTCTAGAGAAGTCAGTGAGTGATATGCAACCTAGGGATTTAAGAAGTGTACTTGTTTCTGGAATTTGCTAGACAAGGTTTAAACGAAGATTTCTTATCAGAAAGTTACCCACAGAGAAAGCAGAATTCTCAATCTAAATTTCTTATTAGAAGAACATTAATGGTTATTAACAGTTGTAATTCTTTTGAACTTAAGAATCTATACTGTCCAGGAAGAGCTGCTGAATTAGAACCTAAAACTAAAGTGAAACAAGAGTTCAGAGAAAGCAAGAACTTATCTTACAAGCCTCAGCTAACTTTTATGAAAAATTTGTAAGAGGCAGTTCCCTTTTCTCACAGAAACCTAGCAGTTCTTAGATATGCAGATCTAGCCAGGCCTGATCTTTTGGGATGTAGATTCCAAGCTCTAGCAGACTAGTCTTTGGGAGGCAAGCCCAAGTGCTTTAGCTT